AATTAAAAATTAAATTATACTTCATTTTATATATAATAGATATTTTGTTTGGAATCAAAAGAGACATTGGTCTGAATCCAGAATCCAGTTCACTAAAATATAAATATCTTAAAATTATAGTTAAGTTAGGTCAACATAAAGAATGTTTCTGATTTTGTTTAAAACAGATACCCGTGCTGAATGAGCTGGAGCCCCTGGGGCCTGCCAGATGTCTGTCTTTGACTTATTCTCCTTTTCTGCTAACAACTCTGACCACACATGTTAGGAACTGACTATTTGTAGCTTTAAATTAAGTAGCAAAAGAACTACATGTATTTAATGCCATATTGTTTGTGGACTCTTACCTATAATTAATTCATTTAAAAGCTTGTGACAATTTAGTATTCTGTTACACTGCTGCTATATGTGTTGCATCCTCCTTATTTAAGGACATATTTCTACCTTGGACTCTGTCTTTAATTGCTTACTATGAGTGGCTAGGAAGATCACCAGAGTGTGTAATAATGTTGATAAGAAATCGTATACCTCTGGGAATCCTGCCTAATATCACAAACTTATCTCTGCTGTATTCTTATTCTCTCGCTTTAGGTTGTTTGGGATATTTCCATTTTGTCTTAAAATGGATTGTAACCTCTTCCAAATACAGCCTTTGTCTTTCGGTGTCTTCAATCCAGAATAACAGGGCACCCATCTTTGCATGGGACTTCCTGGTAGTACTGTAATGTAATTATTGTCGTATAGGTTTTAATACAGTATACTAAAAATAGTTTGAAAATAATAAAATAAAATAATGGCATTCAGAGGTGCAACTCTGAATTTTTTAGCAGTGAAAAAGCTGTGGTTTATTTATAAAGGAAAAAGGGGTGGTTACCTTCACTGCTTATGTGGAATGTGACTTGCTCCATTTGGATGAGTTATTTTTTAAACCCTAGTACGTTCATCACCTACAGGTTACTTACTTTTGCAATATGTCGTAGCCCTTTCCATTTCCCCTGATTTGCTGCCCCTGTAGCAGACTTCTTGTGCTGTCCCTAGCCCCACTCAATAGCCTGAACTCACCCAGGAGGACAAAAGGAGAAGGAGATCTCCAACTGGGCTGTAGTGTGATCCAGAAAATACACGACAGCAGCTTTTCCAGGTAGGGCAGCCTGAACCTCAGCTGGATCTGGGTCCTAACCCACATTTCAGTGGGGATGGTCAAGTACCTACAAGTACGTAGGCCTTATGCCCTCCACTTATACAGCAGCTCTCTGAAGTTTAAGAGCTGGATTAGGTGATGGACAGCAGATAAATTACTGCTCCCAAGCCACCATAAGAACTTGAGTATGCTCGTGATGGTCTCCTTTCATGCTCTCAGAGAGCAGAAGGATAGGCAGTTTCTGGCTGGAATTGAGTATTGCACTTAAAAAATCTTTTTTTTTTTTTTTTTTTAATTTAGGGAGAATCTAATTGGTATGAGTAAGAGAGTACAAATGACAGAGAGAGACCAAGGCCTGTAGTGACAGGACAAGGGGCAACGGTTTTAAACTGAAAGAGGGTAGGTTTAGATTGGACATAAGGAAGAAATGTTTTATGATGAAGGTGGTGAGACACTGGCACCGGTTGCCCAGAGAAGTTCTGGATGCCCCATCATTGGAAGTGTTCAAGGTCAGGTTGGAGGGGGCCGTGAACAACCTGATCTAGTGACAGATGCCCCTGCCCGTGGCAGCGGGGGTTAGATGGTTTCTAAAGGCCCTTTCTAACCCAAATCATTTAATTTTGACTTGAGTTTTTGTTAGACTGAGGTTTTTATTTGCTTGGCCTTTTTTTTTTAGTTTTAGCATAGCTTGTTGGCTCTTACAAAAAACAAAGGGATTTCATCCTCTTATTTGCCCATTGGACTCATCATTGCAATTTCTTGAGGGTAAATTTTGTCATGGAAGGATGATTACATGCTTTTCGGAACGATTTAATTTGATGTAACAATACTGTAACTGTTGCTAAATCTTCCAGAGAGTTTCTGTAGAATATCCAAATTAAGCACAATAACCAATCCATGTCTGCATTTGAGCAGTAGCTAACTGTACTTTATTTTGGATAACGCATTTGTACTATTTTAAAATTAGTAAAAATTATCTGAGAAAAAGGTAGATTTGTTCTACCAAAGATAAAATATTTTTATTGGTAATGAAATATTGTGACATTCTATCTAAGCGCCGGTATAATTTCACAAATGTGTTGGATCATGTTACCACAGGGAACAGGGGACTCTTTATCTGTGGAAGGTCTAGTCAAGAGAGGCTTAACATTAAATGGAGTTAATACACGATTTCCTATAATTTGGAGTTTAACTCTATTGCTCTTGTAGGTGGACAAGAAAGAATTCTGTGATACCAAGCCTGAAATCGTTTAATCAGGAATGTAAATTAGTTATGTGCTTCAGTTACCAAACGTTGATAGAATTGGCTATGGTAGATTGTTGTTTTTTAATTACAGCTGCTCTGTAATATTGTTGTGTTACCAGGTTCCAAGAAGGAAAATAGTATAGTATGGCAGTTTGCTATGCCAAATGACCACAGCTACTGCCAAGCATAAATACTACCAGGAGTGGATTCTTCTATAGGATGACAACCACATCCCTAAAGTACTGAAAGCCAAACTTCCCTATATGTATTTATGTTCGGATAATTTATTTAAATAATGTTCCTAGTACATGCTTTATAACCTTCTGCCTTTTGCTACACAATTTCAGCTTATATTGCAGACTGTGCAAGTCATTTGGCAAATGTAATTTCCATCCCTGCATACTAATCGATTTCTTCACAAACACCTGCTATCAGTTATGATAATAAAAATGCCATTCTAAATTGAAAAGGGGCCAAATGGAGCTTCCTAAGGAAATGACTTAAGTGTCTTTCAATGCCTTTAATGTAGTAATGTTCTTGTAGTGCCAACACTTTTTTTGAGCATTTGCATTTTATATAATTTTACTCTATTACATCATTTTTCTGTCTAAATGGTTCCTCATAACCATTCCTACGAAGTAGTTCATAGCGAGGTTGGAGAGGAATTTCTCTGTTTCCTCTCTCATGGGATTAAATCCAGTGAAAATTCCTTAGCACAGATCTGATTGGAACATCTGGCTGCTACACTAGTACAATTATTAAACGGTTGTATAAGTTCCTATAACATCACTGAGAAAATGTTGTAAAGTTGGTGGGTGCTTTGCCCTTGGACTGCATGCCAGTTTCTTCCTAAAATATAAGCCTAAATCTAGCAGCCAGATTGCAAGTAGCGTTTGAATTACCCAGGGTCGCTTTATGGCTCCTTCCATCCCAGAAAATAACTTCCCAGCAACAGTCTTTGCCAGAACCTAATCATTTGCAGCTCTGCTGAGTCTTGTCTCAGCTCTGCAATGTCTCACTGGCTTTCAGCTGTATTGTCATCTCCCCTGACAATGTCCTCTGCATTATTTGTAAGGAAACAATCCATTTTACTGATTTCTTCACATTTTCATTTTCTCTTAGCTCTAGCCGCCCAAGCGTATGCACTAAAGGAAGAGAACGATAGTCTTCGATGGCAGCTGGACGCTTATAGGAATGAAGTGGAGCTCCTGAAACAGGAGAAGGGACAGCTCTTTCGAACGGAAGAAAGCCTGACGAAGGACCAGCAGCTGCAGTTCCTGCAGCAGACAATGCAAGGCATGCAGCAGGTATTGCTATGGAAGGAAAGCACGGGTCTTCTTTTTTAGGAAAGTGGTACCATGGGGCTGTGCTGTACTCAAGACTCTTAGCCATAAAGGGCCTAATTTCTTTTCAGAGTCAACATCTTACGGATTTTAGATGGGGGAAAGGGGAGGAGGAATTGGGGACATATTTAGGAATAGTCATTTTAGGAATTCATAAACTGCAAACCCATCGATCACTCAAGGAAACTCCTTATGCATGTTCTATTTAGGAGCAAATTACTTCAGTACGTCCCCTGTTGCTCTCCTCACTTAATCCAATTGGCCTTGCACAAAAGTTCAAGAAAGTTTGTCCAGCGAGGCATAGTCAGTGCTCTGTGGCGCCTTCATTTGCATTCATCTGCATCTTTAGATGCATCTCCACTTCTCAGCTCTGTCTTTTTTCTGCTGACTCTTGTTTGAGGATAACTGAGACATCTCCAGTCTGTCCAGACTACCCTCCTGCTAACTTGCAAGTGGATAGCAACATCAGTGCTATTTCCTGAGCTTTTATCATTTATGCTGACCCATGGATGTAAATAACCTTTTCATTCAGGCAATTTTTAAGTGGTTCGGTGCAGCAACAAACTTTTTCTCTGACACCAGTCAGACAGAAACTGCAATGTGTCTTTTTGGGGGGCATTCAGTTTATCTTATCCATTCTCCCTTATTTGTCAGTGTGCTCCCGACGTTATGCAGGGCAAGTCTCGGCAAGCGTATCCAGACTGCTCCCACTGCTTCGTCTGACATGTTCGTAACACATATGTGTTAGTGGAACACATAAGCAGCTCTCATTCAACACGCACATGTATGACCTCTTTCCTGCCCAGGCGCTTGTATTCAGCTGCTACATGACAGAGTGCAAGGGCAGTGGCTCGCCATGACACTGGATTGGGCTCCCATCTAGAATGAAGCTTCCCAAGACGTCACTGCAGAGGTTAATTTTGCCGCCTTCATCTGTGCCTGATCAATGCGTGTGCTCCTCTATCACTCCTGGTTATTAGATTCCAGAAGGGGACAAGTTGTACCCACTTCCAGATTGTACTGAGCTGTTTTTTAATGACTAAAACCAGGAAACATTCATTTACATATGAGCTGCCTGGTTGGATTAGGAATTGCATGGCTATCATGGTACCCATCGAATCCAGCAAGTCTGCAAATCCCACCTCACACCAAATAACAGAGAACAAGACAAGCCTACACGTGTGTTTATATGAACATAAACCCCTTTAAGCCTGCAGAGTTTTACAAAATTAGGGTGATTTATGGTACAGTGGAATAATTCTGAACAAAATATTTGAAAAATAGAAAATAAGTCATTGATAATTCAGGAATAAAATCTTTCCCAAACTTAGGAATGAAGTCATTAATCAGAAATACTTGAGGTTTCAGTATACTTTAGATATGCTTGAGGTCTATTCACGATCTTCTCCTTATATAAATGGATACTTAAATATCACTGGCTTCATTAAATTTAACTGCATATATAAATATTGTGCTAAATTTCAGCCTGGTGCTAATTCTCCATTAAAATTAGTGAAAAGTGGGCACAAAATATTACTAAATCAAAATGCTAGAGCCCTAACGCTCATTTTGCGTTATTATAATTTCCTACCTGGGGTCTGGATGAAGGATAATCAAGTCTGTAGAATATAAATAGATTTTTATTGTAACTTCAAGCAAATGTTAATAATGCAAGTCAATAACAGAGAGCGACTTCCTTATCTCTCTGTTCAGCTAGCAACGGACACCGTAGTCTCTATTCCTCTGAGAGTTTCTATGTTCCCGACAATTTTTCTGTGAGGTTCTGAATTTTTTTAGTTTGCCATCTTGGGGTCAGACCTACTTACTCCCAATGGGATATAATTAGAGATGGCCCAAGGAACTGGAGAAGACATTGCAGATAATCCAGTCTGACAATATGCTGAGGAGGGCAGCAACACAGAAGCACGGGAGGTGGAGTTCAGAATATTTGGTGGGAAATTATCAGTCAATTAAGCAGCTGGATGTTGGCTTTGGATTTCAATGATTAGCCATAGTCATGACATCCCATAACCTTTGTGCTTTTCATGCAGTTCATGCATGAATATTTAGAAATAAACCTTTGATTTAGGTAGACTGTTTTATCTCAGCTTGGTTTTGTAAATGCTGAGACATGACAACCTTAGCTGAAATCCTTCAGTATAGCAGGTGCTCAGCATCTATGGAAATCAGTCTCTCTATGAAATATTAAACATATAGCCAGGACTTGAGTAGTAATAATTTAACAAGAAGACCTGTATTCCCTTTTATCCTTTTGTATATATTAAAATTAATTTCAGACAAGGTAAACTGAATGCCATTGAATTCCTGAACCCTGCATATATGTCAGCATTAAAAACATGTATTCCTCCTCCTTCCTTCCTCTTCATTCTCCCCCGCTTTTTCATACACCTCTTCTTCTTCTAACTTTGAAAACTAGAGAAAAAGTGATTTGAGCTGCAGCCTGAAAAGCAGATTTATCTGATACATTTTCAGAATCAAGAAATTTTTTTGTAAACACATTTGGTGCCAAACAATAGCAAAATACACAACACCGATGTATTTTTAATGTACTTCTACCACCTGGATATTTTTCAGGTTTCTTTCCCACATTTGCAGGACTGATGAAATGAATGTTTGTTTTCTCTTCCATCACTCCTACTGAACCAAAGTAGCATCAGCAAAATCACACAGATGTTTGCTTATGAAGTATACCTTATGGGCAGTAGTAGCAACCTGCTTATTTATTGTGTCTAAAAAAGAAAATCCTTGGACTAATGACATTGAACTTAAGGGGTTTTTAGTCAACTTCCTCCATAAAACAGTGTCACAGTTTAATTTCATATCCACTGTGAGATCTCAAACAAATGGAAATAATGTCTTGTATCCATGGTAACAAATGAGATACACTTCACCTGATTTTGAGATGGAAATTGAATTAACTTGTCACTGCTGCATAGGTGGTATTGCCTTCAATTTATTTCTATATGAGAATACACATACCAACCAGATCACTTTTTGAATGGCTCTGTTTTTCCAGTAGTGTTTGGTATTCTCTAACAAAGCCTATGATCACAAAGAAGGATGTTTTAGTTTAACTATTTTTACAATACTTCACAGCACAGCTGTAAGAATTTTTTAAATCTTGTCTCTCTGTCTGAAATGTTTTACCAGATACATGACTATAGGTAATGCAGAAAATATCACCTAGTAGTGTTGCGTAATGCTTGCCATTATAAGACTCAGTTTTCTGTGGGTATATAATTTCTCCAAATTTTAGCCGTTTGGGTTAGCATAATGCATGTGGAGTAGCAAGCAGAATTCTTTTGAAAAAATTCTCATCAAAATGTTTCAGCCATTCCAAGAACAAAGCGTGAAAACTATGCTTTTCTTGTTTGTTGTCCACCAAAGAAAATTCTTGAGGAAATGCACATGCCACCTTCATGCCTTGATACAAGGACTCAGAATTTGACAGTGAGTCTCTATTAAATTAATGATGTGATTTCCACATGCTTTATAAAATCTGCCTGAAGTTGATAACGTTGCAAGCCTTTGAAAAATGCCACATAGGAGATGTCACTTATTAGCACATATCCAAGTAAATTTTACATTTTTACTGGTCATACGGGGTTATTCATGAACCACCTCCATAGCACAGCCATCAGTGCAATGTTTTACTCCTCAAGTTAGTCCTAAGTCTACAGAGCACGCCTCCTTTAGCATGGCTCTCTAATTGAACAAGTTAGTTCCACCTTTTCATCAGGCTTAATTGGCCAAGGTATGGGGCCATGCTTGCATAGCTGTACTGATTGCTGAACTGGTTCATTTGCTGATAGACTGGTAATTCTGCACGGTGCTTCATTGCATCATGTAAATGTATGATAATGTTCTTTCCTCTCACAACTCCATGAGCATGATGGGCTGAATTTAAGCTCCTGCAGGCAAGGGTGTCATCCAGAAATCCCCACTTAAACCATGATTCCACCTATGTTTTCTCCAGGAAATGTACACAAGTGCCTACAGTTCTGCTATTGCAAATGGAGGTGTATCTGGGACATTTAAGAGGCACCTCATTGCCCCGATCCCCTAAAAAGAGCGATTCATTAGCTGAGCTCGGGCTCATACTCCTAACACACAATGACAACACAAGCTCCCCTTCGTTGGCTGTGATGCATTAAAGCCTAACCATGGGGTTATTGCATGAGCAGGGGGTACATGGGGGTGTCTCTCCTAAAATTAGTGCTCGGGGTGGAAAGCAAGAACAATAGGAGCAGCCGTGGGTGGTAGGCGTAGGACTGACATAAAGGCTGATACACTGCTGCGGGTGCCACCGACTCTGTTAGCTCGGGATGTCTCAGCAGGAGACTGAACGTATTCTGGCCCTATCGGTGACCCACATGGGTGTTACTCTGATGCACCGTGATGAAAGTCCTCTTTTGTCTTGCCTTCTTTTTTTCCCCAAACAGTATCAATTTCAGTCGAATAGCAATGCAGATTGTGAACCTGAGCAGTCAGAAGCCAGGAATTGCCAGAACTACCGCCTGTGTATTTTGCTTCATATACCTCAGAGACCCTTCCTCCTTCCCCTGCAGACAGAGAATGCACAGTTAATCATCACCTATTCAATACCTTCCTGTTCTGGCTGTTCAATATGCAACACGAGGTCTTACTGCAAAGGCCACATTGCTCCTGACATTTCCTACCTACTGAGGACTAGCTTTTGCAGTTTACTAATCATTTAGCATGTAAAATAAATAGCACGTGCATCTGAGGCTGATACACCTTATTTCAAAGGGCTCTGATGAATGCCAGATGAGTAGCAATCATTTCGGGCTTTCACTGTTCTTCCAGGGAAGGACAGTTTGCTCTGTGATATGCCTCACCTTGTGATTGGGAGGGTGAGAAGAGCCGCTGGAGTGCATCGCAGCTCCGTCCTTCCACTCACTGCTCCCTCAAAGGAGGATGGC